TTATTTTTAAAATATCTGCTGCATAAGTTTTAAAGCACTCATTTTTGGGTTTCATTTAATTTTCTTAGGCTAAATCATAGATTTTTTTTGTTAGCGGCTGAGCAGTAAAATCGCTAAACACTGGTAATTCAGTCCAAGGTTCAAATCCCGCGAACAGGCTGACTGCATGGGTGTTTTTGTGGTTTTACCCATGTGTAACGTGTATACGAGCCAGTTTCCCTTAGAAAGTCCTCCACGAAGGCATTCTTCGCCTTAGGCAGATAGCCCTCGAGGCTTTGCCGTAATTAAATAACGTAACCTTTTTGTTAGTTTGCAATATGGTGCAGACTTCATTGCATTTTGAACAGTTCCACTCAACTTTAATTCATCAAGCCTAAAGCTTTCCCATCTAAATATAAATAGTTAAGATTTTAACACCATTGATTAGCAGCATCTTGCCATGTTCACTTCAGATATAAACTTGTCAATATGCAGTCAAAAGTCGTTAACCCGGACTCGTCGGGACTTCGGCGATTCCGGATTATCGATTTTTCCGGATTATAGATCATCATTTTAAATCTGGTAAGATGGCATGCAGAAATTACAAAATTAAAAATATGAAACCATAATTTATGAAATAAAGAACAATTATGTTGTAAAGGGTATCAAAATTTACAAAAAGAAAAAGCTTAATATTTATTTGTTTACTTTATTAAACATTTCTTTCAAAGTAAGTTGTTTAAGGTGTTTCGTTTCATGTGATAATACTTTCTCTTTAATTCTATTAAACAGACATGATTTCTTGTTTATTTACAAAGTTCCGCTGTTCAAGTCCTATAATTGCTGTATCAAGAATACCGACTAATTTGTCAATCGAAATTTTTTCGTTTTCAATAACAACTGTGTCACTTTCTTCACTATCGGAAGTGAATTATAATGACGAGGAACTTGATTTAAATCATAGACGGAATACATCGAGATGAAATACTACATTTTGTAAGGAATTATGAGCCAAATAAAATAAAAACATCTGGCCTGAAGATAAGGATAGTGCTGACAGATCAACTTCCTATTCATTCCCCCCTGCCGCTGCAGAGCAGCGTGACATTGATAAACAGATTTCAGATTTCGAAACATACTTTCGCTTTGTACATCCTTGACATATTAGTAAGTATATATCGGAAATTTTATTTGACATAATCGAAAGTTCAAGCTTACTTTTATAAAATTTCTCTAACAGTCTGCAAAAAATAATAAGCCGGATCCAATTCGAAGATTAAGGAACGACGCAGTCTACAACATTAACTGAATTAGATAATTTTAGCTTAGCTTATACCGTCCGTTATACATTCAACGCTCATGCGTAAACGTATTATGCGCTTGTGCACATGCATATTTGCAGCCGTAAAGGTCTTACGCGCACGCGTAAACGCCTATGCGCATGCCTTAACGCGACACATGCGTAGAAAGTTTGTAGCTTTGAGGTCCAAATCATAGATCATTCCGGATTATGGGTGTCCGAATTAAAGACTTTTGACTGTATTTTACTAAGCAAGTAAAAATTTACAAATGCAGATGATTATTCTTATGATATAATTTAAAACCAAAAAATGGCATTAAGAATGTCTTCAAAACATCCCAACAAAAGTTACTAGTGTCCAAATCATTACATGAGTTACTTATTGACACTTGTGCAGTAAATTATTTTATTGCAGAAAAATGATAATTTGGTTAATCTTTGGATTATGGCAACTTGGCGAAAATTTGGCGACCAACCCTGCTACAGCAACCTGCTAGTTTTTTTTTTTTTGGACGCCATTTTGTTTTCACGAAGTAAAGGCATTTTTTTTTTTACTCAACATTTTTTTTCCAACAATCTGCTAGCCAAATTACGCGTATGCTTGAACTTTTATGGAACAAAATTGCTTAATCATGACAAAGATTAGGTGCGAAATTGGGAGAAACTGCAGAATCGCCAACTGCTTGCCGCATTTTTAAGAATTGCATGTACACGGTATCCATGTACATGTCGACCTATTTTCACTTAAAAAAAATCCCAGAATTGCAAAAAAATGGCATTGCGTACACTCTTGACTTTATCCATGTACACTGCTAAAGTCCTAGCTAGCCCTTTATCGCCTTACCAAAATGTCACCAAACTACCTGTTACCATATTCCAAAGATTAACCGATAATTCTTATTTTACAGTGAGCTAGTCTTAAAATAGAGGAAAACATAATACGTTAGGAAAAAATTTGGAATTTATATTTCAATATTTTACAAGATCTGTGCAAATAAATTTCAAAATACAAGCATCATAAAACAAGTGTGAGCCACTGTAAATATATGTTTGCTAATCATTCAAAATTGCATTGCAGTATGCATATTAGACTTCTCAATTTTTATTTGAAAGTAGAAAGCTTCGAAAGTTTTATTTAAAAATGGAAAGCTCCAAAATTTTTATTTTGAGTGCATATGTTAGGAAAATGAAATTGTGATAAATTATGTATTTTAGCTGAATGTTCTGTGTTTCTGTCTTATGTACAAAGTATGATTTTTTTTTTTTTTTTTTTTTTAGATACAAAATGCTTTTTTTAACTTCGGAATGACATAAAATGATGTTAAAATTTTTCCTTATTTATTCTAATTTTTTTCTTTGTTATATTCTGTAAATTATCTGTGCTGCCCAACTGGGTATAGTGGTTAGTGTCGCTGACTGCTGTGCCATAGGGCCCAGGTTTGAATCCTGGAAAAGGCATGGGTTTTTGTAAATGTATAGTGTCAGTGCAGCTTGGCAACACTCTAAATATGCGGCAAGCCAAAAGTCCTCTCTTGTGGTTTAGTGGAAGGGGAGAGGTGTGGGAGCCCTCGGACACCACCTCCCCTCCGGGTTGCTCTCCATCAAAATTGGGGGCAGAACAGAGCTAAATCACTCTCTCACCTGAATGGTGCTCAGAGCTGTTGCCAATGGCAGGCATAATCTAGTGCTCCTTGCCACAAGGTATTTCGTGGGCTTGGGCTGACTATGTCAGAAAAGTGAGTATAAGCTACTAGCAAATTATCTGTAGTTTAGTTTACATTATCTGCGAATCCTATACAGTGCCAACTTGCATAAATTTGACATGAAAAATTTTTGCGACATGCTTAAATATAGAGGATCTATTTAGAATAGCAAAATATATGCAATATTATATCATCAGCTAGTGCTTTAAGAAAGTAGTTGTAACATTTCTTGCATTTATATTTGTGACTTTCATTATTTAGATTGCATATAATTTCTGTTTTAAGTACTGTTTTTAATTAGTTGTAAATAAAATTAAGGAGACATTATGGTGATATTTTAAACCATATTTTTAATGTTGATGTTATATTAACTCCTTGCCAGTCTTGCATGAGGCCAGTGCGGGGAACTACTATGCAGAAAAAAATTAGTATTTTTATTTCATGAAGCACAAAATGAGTTCGTTTTTCCTTTGGCATATTCATTGAAGACTTAATTTACTATTTTCATAATAGATGCTGTTCTTGGTCATACTTTTTCACTAAATTTCAGTTGGTGGAAGATGTGGGCATGTTCATTTGCTCAGCTAAACAAAGACACGTATTAGGAATGAGAGTTTTGCTTTCATGCGTATAGTTTGTCCCCCCCCCCCCCCCGTGAATTTTATATCTAAAGGGTTTTTTTTTTTTTTTCAATATCTGATTTAGACATTGATGAAGAATATAGTTTAGGTTATTTGGGATCAAATACTGATATTTCTACCAATAAATGTACGGAAATCGATGATGATATTGATATTTCTTTGTGTAGAAATTGGGAGCCCTTATGTTTGGATAACCTTTCTCCTGCCTCTCTAAAGTTTCTATTTCAGCCAACACAAGCAGGTGCAACAATTGATACCTCAAAGCCTGTATAGTGCCTCAGCCTGTATAGTTATAGCATTTAAAATTTTATTGTTTTACTAAATAACCATTTTCTAACTTTAATATTGGTATAAAGAACAAAACTAAACAGTCAAAAAATTTTACATTTTTGGTATGTTTTTCTGAAATATGTGCCACAGTTAAAGGGTTCAGTTAAATATCAGGAGCACAAATATTGATGGTATTTTAGCATTCTTGTCAGTTTAATTTTCTGCTTTTCTATCTTTTTTCAATGTTTTTCAGTGTCTATATGTAATCATTTCTGACTGTTAATGCAAAATGTTTTGGAAAGAAATAGCTTTCTTTCAAAATTGTATTTGCAATGCAGAAATGTGTTATATACTGCATTATAAAGTTTAAAAGTATACTGCTGCAGTAGTTGGTAGGCAAATTTATGATTAGGTGATAAAGTTGTTATGCACATTCTTTCTTTGATAAGACGCAGAAAAAAATCACTGATGATCATGTTCTTTATCAAAGAAGAACAAAGAACAGAAGGCATTCATTCTGCACACTTTATTTGATCCAACAATGAAAAACTTGTGTAATCATGTATTGAACAAAACTGAATATAGGAGCATAATCTTTTTTTCCCCCATCAGGTAACTTATAACATGATTTGATATTTCAATAACGGTGTGCAAGCAAGTAAATATTTTTGCTTTGTGAAACACCTTGTAATTAAAAAAATATTAAGGTTAAACTATAAGGACATTTGTTTTGACTGTATGTATGCTTGCAGAACGTTTATAGTTTTCTTGTTTAATGAGGTAGAAAAATTAAATAAATAATTCTGCTTGAATTATTTATTTAATTTTTCTACCTCATTAAACAAGAAAACTATAAAAGTTCTGCAATAATTCTGCTTGAATTATCTTGCTAATGTTCAATGTTTGTTTAAGCTGTATTTATTATGTATAATTATGAAAATATGTATGGAAATTTAAATTTACTTCAAATTTATTGAGCATAATTTTATGAATTGTTAGGTTTAAGTAAAGTAAGAAAAGTTAATGATTGCTAAGTCTGTCATTTTAAAGATTATTACAATAATGCATTTTCTATTAATTTATACTGATTATTTTGTTACCAAACAGCTGATTCTGATCCTGTAGTAGAAATTCCAAGCTTAACTGGAAGCCAGGAAATTCGGAGGTCCCAGATAACTAGTAAGTTTGTTTAGGGATTTGTAAAATATAGCTTAACTTTGAGATTAATTTAAAAGTAAACTGCATTACAGCTAAAAGTTAAAGAAGCCCAAAAATTTTACTTTCATATGTAGTATTTCATTCCAGTTTTTCATTTTACAGAAAATACAACTTACTTGTGTAAACAAAATTTATTATGACTTGTATAGTCTAGTTTTTGTAATATTTTGATTGTGCATCCAATGTGTATTAAATAAAATTTATGTTGAATTACTTCTGCGTTAAATAAGTTGTGCTGTGTAGATATTAAATTGAATTTCCAATTTGCATTGATCATCATTAGTCAGTTTTACTTTTGTGTATGTTTTGTAACAATTAATAATAAATCACACTTTCTTAATCCTGAATTGCACCAATGCTATTTTTATTTTTTCTTGCCAATGCCACTATAAAAACAGATACCATTATGTACTTACTTTTCTGTGTACATAAACATATTTTTATCCATTTTTCTTGATTTCAAGATTTTAAGGCTGGGTGCAAGATTATGGGAAAAGTTATGCTGTGAGCTTAGAATCGAGTGAAAACTATTCCATAATTTGAAAGATAAAATGAGAAAATTACAATACTTTCTGATTACTCATTCAATATAGTTATCAGCATTCAGTAGAATTGCTGTTTTTTGGTATGTTTTAAGAGTACATGCAACAATAGATAACCCAGCATGCACATACTACATGTGTGGAATTATGTACTTTTATGTTTAACTGTTGTTTTGCTGAACAGTATCTATTGATTTTTAAAAATGTTGTACATTAATATGTATATTTATATGTACCACATTGTTGTGAATTTAGTGAAATTGTATGTATATTGTACTATCTGTTGTATAATGTAACTTGAAATGCCTCAAAAATGTTAAACTCCACAGAAAAAAGTGTTACAGGGGCAAGTCCATTTAGGGATTGGTATGATACCACCAAGCTGGCATTAGTTTTTGTTGCCAAACTTGTATAAAGTTGCTAGACTTGGCAGTTATTTGATGACATGTTCAATCCCCGTGTAACTCTAATTAGTCTTACCCCGTATGTAACTGTATCTGGCCATATAGATAAGTATAACTACATATGCTTTTCAGTAATTTTGAGAAATCAAGGTGCTGAGAATTTTTCGGTGGACATGGGAAAGCTATAAAAAAATAGAGGGAGCACAGTTTTCAGTTCAGTTCAGATTCGATTTCAGAGTTTATATCAGAGTAATGAGAGATTAGTCTGTTATCTTATGCATTGAAGCTTTGTATATTATGTGGTGTTCAATGTTTTTATTAGTTTGAAGTGGTAACTACTATTTGTGCTCTGTCTTACCGAGAAGAGTTATATGAGTACTTTCGTGAAAAGTTCCAGAACTGTAAAGTGTTTCTTTTGGGGAAATGACTTTTATCAAGCTATCACCAGTTCTATGTGCATTCAATCTGTTATTGAACCCACTGGAAAGCCCGGCGGTCATACGAAATGATTGCTGTTCTAGATATTATCAATTGTAATTAAAATGATTTGTGCAAAGGTGTCAGCTAATTCAAACTGAATTAATTACCCAGGGCAGGTGGCGAAGATGCCCCTTTTGCTTACTGCTCCATGGGGTTTTCCTCTTCTACTTGCTTAATTACTTAAAGTAGAGTGTAATGAAGGAAACCACTGGCGGTACATTTCTTAAGAGCCACCGCTAGCTCAGTAAATAAAGGTGATTTAAATAAAAAAATGTTAATTCATTCACATGTCAAAGATCTCTTTGTACACAATATTTCTTGTGTAGATCTTTCCATGATTTTTAAGCTAGCCTTGCAGAGGACCATCAATTATTTTTAATTTTACGTTCGTTCTTTCACAAACTCCTGAACAGGCAACATAAAGTTGACAGTGTCCAAATGAAGCTCAGGTAAAAAAATGCATACACGCTTAAGCGTTATTGAGTAAGCGTAAGTGAGACTTATTGATGGTCATAGCAAAGGGAAGTTTTACAGGAAATTGTCTACGTCTCAATTGAAATGGCAACCCTGCGCCGCGGCAACTTCACCGCATTGGCTAGTACAGTTATGCAAGCAACCAATAAACTATCGGCGACAAACAGACACTTAAGCCGCATGTAATAAAGATATTTATTTATTTCATTTTATTTGTTTTTTCATCGTTGCCGATTTTTACCATTTGCATATTTTTGAATTCTATTATATATAGATGTTAAATTTATTTATTAAATGTTAAATACACGTGCTTTTGTAGTTTTAATTTTTACAGCTTAACTTTCTCATAATATTCGTCACGTGGTGCAATGCATAGGAATAAAACAATTTACAGTTACGCAAGCAACCAATAAACTATCGGCGACAAACAGATGTTAAATTTATTTATTAAATGTTAAATGCACATGCTCTTGTATTTTTAATTTTTCCGGCTTAGTTTTTTCATAATATTCGTCATGTGCTGCATTGAACGGGGAATAAAACAATTTACAGTTACGCAAGCAACATATAAACTATCGGCGACAAACACTTAAGCCACATATATATAAGATGTGCTCATAACAATATAGTTTTCCCCCCTCATAAAATGCTTTGTTTTATTACTTATGAAGCCAGAAAGATTATTTAAAATTTATGAAGGAATGCAAACATTTTTCATTAATGAGTAGCCCATTTTCTAAAGGGCTGCAGATAATCAAAAAGTTTAAATAGCATTTATAAGTTTATAGCTATTTAGGGGTTTATAACTGTAAGTCTATAGCTGTTTTTGAACGAAAATAGCATTTATGAGTTATATTAATGTTTTTTCCCGGTTTGGTTCATTGAAACATTGAATTGTTTCACCTTACTGAAAAATTATTGTGCTTGCTGATTTTATTTTAAAAGTAGTTTTGTAAGCATTGTCCTCTAAAATTTATCTCTTGATCTGAAAGAAAAACTTTTCAATATAAAATTTCAGATCAGGGAAAAAGGTTTAGTTTACCTTAGTTTGGTGTACGTTTTGAATAAAAGTATCAATTTTGAGAGCAATCAAAGGTAGGTTTTCTTCTTCAGGATTTTCCCCCCAACTATTTTATATCAGAAGCACTGGCCAGAGTAAAAAATGAATGTAGTATTCATTGAAACACGCCAATATAAATTTTAAAATTAGGCAAAAAAGTAACTTAAGCTTGTTTTAGATATTGAATAAAACTTAGCTAAGAAAGTTCATATTTAATGGTCCCCGAAAAGAGCTCTTTTAAAGTTAAATATGGCTTATCTGTAGAGATTGTCAATAGAAATGCCAGGTGGAATAGCAAAACAGTTTGCAGGATACTAGATGAGTATCTATTTAAATTAACAATGAGAACATGAGGTATATTATGAATTAAATATATTTTTATTTAAATCAGTCAGATTAGAAAGTAAATAAAATAATATTCTTAAGCATGGAATCAATTGCTTTTAAATAGATTAGTTTGTTATCAACTACAGATTTATTGAATTTGAAGGAAGGATCTTGCATTTGTTTTTTGGCCACTGACTCAGGTGAAAGTAAAACAATGCATTTACAGTGGATGGTATTTAAGTAAATCATTTACAGTGGATGGTATTTAAGTAAAATCATGCTTTGAGACAAATAGCCTCCCCTTTTTAAGAAAAAATAAATGGTGTTTTTCTATTTCGCCGCCACAAATCTCACCAAGCAAACTTTATTGCCGACAACATACAGTATACACATTAAAAATGTTAACGAACGTTATTTCTAAGAATTTTTTTATTTTGAAGGCATGAAAATTTTAATATTGTTTAAAGTTTTGTAAAACCCAATAAATAAAAACAATAAATTTGTAAAAAGACATTAATTTAAGAATTTATTATGCTTTCATGGTTCAACAAGCTGATTCACCAGTTCATATCACAACCTTAAGTGATCTCATCTCATGTAAACTAATCTACACCAAACTAAAACAATTCAAAATATTTATCAAACTAAGGTTGCTTTTTTGCCTGATTTAAAATTTGTTACATTTTAAAATATGTTTTTGATGGAACCAAAAAGTAAAATTTTAAAATGTTGTTTTTTAATTGTTTGTATTATTTTCTTTATATATATTTTCACTGTTGAAAGAAAAAGATATACAGTACAAAGTCCATAATCCGGACTCTATGAACTGGAAGTTAATTTGTCAGCACTATCCTTATTTTCAGGGCAGATGTTTTTATTTTATTCGGCTTATAATTTCTTACTAAATGTAGTATTTCATCTCAATGTAGTCCGTCTTTGATATGATTTAAATCAAATTCCTCATCATTATAAATATCATAAATACACATCAAATAGTTTTGTGGTTGCAATTTTCTAATTTCGACTATGTGTAATGTATGCTTTATGCATGCGCGCGTTGAAAGAAATGTTTAATGAAGTAAACAAATAAATATTAAGCGTTTTGTTTTTTGTAAATTTTGATACCCTTTAGATCATAATTTCTCTTTATTTCATAAATTACGGTTTAATATTTTTAATTTTATAATTTCTGCATGCCATCTTACCAGATTTACATTGATGATCTATAATCCGGAAAAACCGATAATCCGGAATCGCCGAAATCCTGACGAGTCCGGATTAAAGACTTTTGACTGTAGTAAACGGATTTTAAAATATTTACATTATTGGCAAATAAAACTTCTTTTTGCTTCCTAGATTCTGATATCAAAGCTTTGGTGGTGAGATGTACCTCATGCACACAACAAATAAATCATTTTGAACCTGATAAAGTACGAAAACATCGTCGTTTGAATGTAATAATATGTAAGGTATGTTGGATCTTTTAATTAAATGTTTTTAAAGATTTCATTTCTCATTTCTGTTTAATGATGCCTTATAATATGTACTAGAATGATGATGTAGAACTATATTTAAAACACCTTATTCTATATTTTTGCAAAATTGAATACTAACACTTTTTAATCGTTTAATAATCTAAATTTAAAACTTTAATTTTGAAGTTTTCAAGAAGAACCATAAAAAACTATCATTAGTCTACCTAAATGAATAATCTGTCTTGTTCCACAGATTTTATTTAGTATTAAAATTCTTATTGCAGTTGTGTTTTTTAGTTTGTTGTGATGGAAACATTATCCAAAATACCTGGGGGAAATGGTTAAAATATAAAAGTTTAATTTTGCAAAAATAATTAAACATTAAAATTCAATGAAAAAATTTTACTGTTATAAATGTAAAACTTTACGTGAAAACATACTGTTTAAAGAAAAAACTAATTAGAATGTACAGTGCTCAATTAGAATGTACAGTGCTCACTGTTCATTTTACTGTATATTGCTCATACTGCAGTATATTGTTACCTGAGTGCCTGTTAATTTAAAACAGATTCAAAATCCACTGGTTTGTTTTCAAAAATACTATCAGATTAAAACATGATTCTTTGAAATACGCATTAAAACAGAAAATATTAATTTATATGGCAGTATAAAGGCACAGCATTTAAAGATATTGATTGTACTTGCTCACATATTTCTCTCTCTCTTTTTTTCTTCTAATTTCACTGCCTGGAAGGTCAAATTATGCAGCATTTGCAGCTTTTTAAAGAATGGAAATGAAGATCTATAAGTTTGCGTAGATGAATTAACACTTCCTATTATCGTCTTCACTACATTTTATTACATTATTATTCTACATTTTCCAATGTTACATAATGTAGCTTTCCGGTTTTGAATCCATGAGAAGCACTCTGAATTGCATGTAACTTTTTTTTATTAGCATGGGTTCTGGTTTGACTTACCTTTAAACCTCTTTCACTGAACCCTTTTTACAGCACTTTATCCAGTTGGTTGAACTTATTTATTTGTTTATTTATTTAATTTTATTTAAGTATCAGTACTTGCAGGAGTAACAGATTCAGATCATCAGACAGAAAATTTTGTAATTTTTCATTTTGATTTTTATACCATATGAATTAATTTCATACAAGCATTGTCAGAAACAATCTGAATATTTAGAAAATCACGTCCCAAATATGTTCGTGCATTGATATTTCAATCTCTTTTGTGAATATTATTTCTGAACTTTAAGCATTTTTTGTGCTTGTTGACCATGTAATGGATACATTACCTTGCACCATAAAACCTGCAGTTTCATGTTGAAAAAGAATCACTGAGAAAAAAGCATTGTCCTTTCCTAAAGTGTTTATCACCTGGTTTTAAAAATATCTAAACCACTAGTTCCAGGTAAACAAACCACTGGTTAAATTCAAAAATATTTTTCTTTTCCCACTTCACATTTAATTAAGTATTATGAAACAGTTTGCCAAAGCTTTTGTTAGGTTACTTACTTTCTTTAAGAAATATTCTTCACTTATGTTAATAAATCTTTATTCTTGCATTACTTACATATCACTGAAACGATACAGCTGAAAATACAAAATTACTATATGCGTTTCAAAAAAACATTACCGTTCAAAATCAGCTTCCAAGAAAATCTGCCCTTTTGTTGCCACTCGGAGAAAACATATTTAAAATCAAATCAATGCATTGTGTTTACATTTGGGCATCCTGACTTTGTTACGGCATCAGAACATTAAGAACTTATACTTAAAAAAATTAAATCTGTAATATTAAAATTTATACAAGGTGCGGCTATTAATTTTCAGGACTACTCTAATAACACCAGAACAGATGAGGAGAAAAACTTAACCTTTTAATATGTTTCGAAGTAATCTGCATTGGCCGTAACACACTTTTGTGCTCGGCTGTGTAAGTTGTGGAAACAACTTGTAAAGTCCTCTTTCGGAAGGCTCTTCAATGTTGACGTCATGTTTTTCTTGATGTCGTTAACATCCACAAAGCGTGTTCCTTTGATCGCAGTTTTGAGTTTGGGAATGTTCGGTCACACTCTCTTGACTTGGTCCCCGCAGACTTCCTTTTGCTTCCCAAACTCAAAACTGCGATCAAAGGAACACGCTTTGTGGATGTTGAAGACATCAAGAAGAACATGGCGTCGACATTGAAGAGCCTTCCGAAAGAGGACTTTAAAAGTTGTTTCCACAACTTATACAGCCGAGCACAGAAGTGTATTACGGCAGATGGGGATTACTTTGAAACATATTAAAAGGTTACATTTTTGACATCATCTGTTTTGGTGTTATTAGAGCAGTCCTGGAAATTAATAGCCACACTTTGTAGTTCGAAAGCCTTAAACTGTCATATAGATTCACCGTCCTGGTCTATTCTTTTTCCGTGTCCTACTTTTAGTAGTATGCGGTGTGTTGTTTTCTTTATCATTAACACTAATGTCATCACCATCATCATCATCCTCCTCTGATTCAGCTTGACACTGCCATGATTTTAATTGGCTCATAGGAGCTGTCGTACTAAAGAAACATCCTTTCACCTTCTCTTCTAATTGAGTTGTTCTATAGGTATCACTTGGTGAAACTTTGGTAACTACCAAAGGCCCTCGAAATTTTGGTTAATTCTCCAGTTGATTTAGGTACTCTTCTCATATAACTACTATCTCTTCTTGTTTGAATGTTAAGTAATTGCTTCTCTTCTTGTCATAATTTGCTTCATTTTCATCTGCATATCTTCAGTTCTCTTTCTAGCTTCATTCTGTAAGATTACTGGATTCTCCCATTCATTTGTATCTTCATATTTCTATTTCTGATGTTTAAATTAAGGAGGAATTTTTGTTGGACCTCAAATTCGAAATCTTATTTAGATTCCAAATTTGAAACAATGATGAATAATTGTGAAACCAAAGCATGGTTGAGTTTTAAACAGGTGAATGAAAATTTTTTAGTGAACGAGAAACATCTAGATCACAAAACTACTGTAGAAGACATGCTACAAAAATTAAGATTGCTCGGATGCAACATGAGTATTAAGTTACATTTTTTACATGCACACGTAGATTGCTTTCCAGAGAATGGAGGAAAAGTTGTAGTTCATTTGTATATAAGCTACACCAAAATAATTTTCAGATTTGGAAAATCATAATTACAAACCTTTCATTTTTAAGGTTAGTTAAAAATAATAATTTAAATTAGTCAAATTTGTATTCATTCAGTAATTTTTATTTTATCAATATGATTTACTGGAAAAATGTGTTTTATAAATACTTCCCCCTTTTCTTTAATAGTTTCCTTTAATAGCTTTATATTACATATTGTTACTGTTTCTGAGATCTGTCGTGTAACAAAATTTGCTATTTTGATATACTGAGTATTTTCATTCCGAAACATTTTACCTGACTGTAACTTATGTAGGAGAATAGATTGATCAGCATTAAAATTGATGCAAGGATAGTAACTTCAAGAAGCACAGGCAAAAATTTATTTTTCCACATTTGAGCTTCCTTTTTTAAAATAGATGTTCTCACTGCAGTGAAACTTGTAAAGCAGTCCACAACATTAAGAACGACCACAATATTAAAAAATTTCCTTTATTGTCATTCTTATGAGAATGATTTTGCTATACATTTTGAAATTTATTTTTCAGTATTTTTTCCCCACTTACCGAAGCCAAGCAGTAAAGTTGCTGGACTCTAGTAGTTCGATTCCAGGCGAATGGGCTGGTTGCATGGCCATCTTCTTGTTTTCCCTGTGTCTCATGTGAATGCAAGTCAGTTTCCTTTAAAAAGTTCTCCATGAAGGCATCTTAGGCAGGTAGCCCTAGCATGCTTTACCATTATAATTAAACCAAAGAGATCAATATTTTCCCATGATTTTTACTGTAGTAGCAAAGGTTGAAGTTGTAATTCTGCCAAATACTCTTTGAATAAAAGAATGTCATTTGGTACCAAAGTTTGTTTCTTTCTCATAATGTAGTCAGTGGGATAAATTCAAACTGTCTATAAGTAAACATAACTGTCATTTCTGACCCACTTAACAAAGAAAAAAGTATAAGTCAAGATATTTCTTAGAAGTCACTATCGATTATCAGCAGCTTTTTGTATTGTTCAAAAAACCAGCACTGTTTCATCTCTGTTCATACATGCCTTTCGTGAACCTGAGAAAAGACAATTTTAATTTTCTACTGTCATTTTTTGGTTTAAAGACTCATATGTGTTAAAAACACATACCTTTTGCAGATGCACTTTTTGTTCTCTTTACTGCATCAAAAACAAATCTTTTGCCTTTCTTCAGTATTAATTCTTTTGTTGTGCTTTGACAAGTTTGGCAGTTATCAACATTCTCATAATTTTAAAATTGATTAAAAGTTTTGATCTGATGATTTGTGAGCAATTTTGTTACCAAATATAATAATGTTATTGTGATATCATTTAACTAAAAATTGTAATTATGTTATTGAGAAAAATAGCATTAAAATAAAATATTACTATCTGATTATCCCATGTTTTTGTGGCAGTTTTTTGAATATCTTGATTCTGAAATTTAAACACGGTAACAGACAGAGTAAATAAAGCAGAGTTTTTTAATTATGTTTTAGCAAAAACAAGAAAGCTACTATATTTATTTCAAAATTATTTTCATTTAAGTAATTTTTTATTATAACTGTGTCACTCTATTAAGATATTCAATTATGTATTAGTTTTCTGTGTAAAAATCATTTTACACTTTTTTCTGAAATTTTTTTTCAAAATTTTCTAAATTTTATTCTTAAGTAAAAATTTGGGGGGGGGAGAGAAATAACAAAATGAAAAATGTATTAATGGTATTAAGTTTTAGTAGATGTAGTTTAGAGTAAGACTGTGATGAGTTTATCACTTTATTTGGAGAATCCTTGGAAAAAACTATGAAAAAGAAGTTATCTGACTTTTCTATGGTACCTACTTATAATTGCAACTGTTAGTATGTAAACAGTGCCAAAAGCCCTCATGTTAATAGAGTGTGCCAAAGCAGCAACCTTACTTTGAGTTTTTCTTGTGTCTAGCAGATTATAATTGATTGTAGTTAGGACTGTCGCCTGTTTGATGATGGTTTGTGAAGAATTCAATAGGGTTCTTTCTTTAGTGCAATTCACAAACAAGAGTTGTACATTTCCATTATGCATCTGCCCCCACATTTGGACATGTGAGTACATAATGGAAAAGTATCGTGAGTGTGTGTGCCATATGTAAACTATTCTAATAACCAGAAATTATTTGCAATTAAAAAACCCAACAAAATGCATGGCATGTGCATAATAAAAGAGTACTACAAACAACAAGGCTTAACCAGAGGATCATAATAATCAGTTTCAAATACAAGTGGAACTGAAAAGAAAGTTTAAGTATTAAATGATGATTCTGATTCTGAATTTGAAGATGATGATGATAAGGATATCTTTTCTACTTTGGATCTCAAATGTCTTTATCTTGATAAATTTCTGTTTCCTTTATTTTTTCTTTTAATTCTGTGATTTGCACTATGACAAATTGCAAAAAATGGTTCTATTTTTGCAGTTTGTTATGGTGAAAAGCAACTTTGGAAAATAATTTTTCTATTAAAAACTTTGAATTTTGATAGTTGAAAAGATTATCTGAATGCATATTATATCATTTCATAGTTTTTTGAAGCTATTTTCAGAACTGAAATTACTAAATGAAATAAAATTACCAATTTTGCACATTCTAAATGCATACAGTTTATTAGAACAATGGAATTTTCAATTAAATCAGAAGATTCAAAGAGGAAAAAAATTATCGAAGAAAATGTATACATAAGAGGAAAAAAAATTTTTTTTTCAAAGGGCTGTTGTGGAAGATAATAATAAATTGCAGGTACTTTAGAGGATGATGCAGAGACTAATAGGAACATTAATTGTTCAGTTTGCTTATTGTAATTTAATAAAATAATTTATAAAAAGATTAAAATATAGATAAACTCAAATTTTAGATTAAAAAGACACAAATATTTTGTTGTGTTATGGTTTTATATATTTTAATGTATAATTGTTCTATCTTTTTAAAACTGATATAATAAATTATATATATAATTCTTTATTTCTTACAAAATTTTGTGGATTATGATTTCAGTATTGACGTTTTCAATGAATATTTTTCATAAGAGAATTTTTTAATTATGACCAGTAGGTTTTTTTTAATAGTATAAATCTTTTTTAAAATATGTGTTAATAAATGTTTCAAGAAATTGTGTTAAATAATTGTGTAATTAATGCACAATTGAATTCATTCAAGGCACAAGGACAGAGAAAATATTAATCACTTGAAAACAACTTTTTGAGAGTTGGTTTTGTTCTCAAACTTGGTTTTATTAAACATGTTTTGCGTTAAATATTAGACTGTTTAATAATAACCTGTACTACAGTCAAAAGTCGTTAATTCGGACACCCATAATCCAGAATGATCTATAATCCGGACCGCGACGCATGCGTAGAAAGTCTTTTATGTCTAAGACTTTTACGGCTGCAAATATGCGTGTGCACATGCGCGTAATACGTTTATGCTTGCGCATTTAATGTATAACGGAGGGTATAAGCTAAGCTAAAATTATCTAATTCAGTTAATGTTGCAGATTGCGTTGTTCCTCAATCTTCGAATTGGATCCAGCTTATTATTTTTTGCAGACTGTTAGAGCAATTTTATAAAAGTAAGCTTGAACTTTCGATTATGACAAAAAGAATTTCCGATTCTGTAGCTGCCAAAGGATCTACAAAGCGAAAGTATGTTTCGATGGCCATCAAACAAAAAGTGGAATTGGTGCAAAAAAAATGGATAAAGGCATATCCTTCGTTTCTCAAACCATTCCGAAATCTGTATCAATTTCACGCTGCTCAGCGTCCCGAGGGGGGAAAACGCCGAAACGCCGTGGCGCGCAATGAATTGGAAGTTAAATCTGTCAGCACTATCCTTATCTTCAGGGCAGATGTTTTTATTTTATTTCGCTTATAATTCCTTACTAAATGTAGTATTTCATCTCGATGTACTCCGTCTTTGATATGATATAAATCAAATTCCTCGTCATTATAATTCGCTTCCGATAAAGAAGAAAGTGATATAGAGGTTATTGAAAACGAAAAAATTTCGATTGACAAATTAGTCGGTATTCTCGACACAGCAATTATAGGACTTTAACAGCGGAACTTTGTAACTGAAGTAGAAATTATGTCTGTTTATAGAATTAAAGAGAAAGTATTATCACATAAAACGAAGCAACTTAAACAACTTACATTGAAAGAAATGTTTAATAAAGTAAACAAATAAATATTAAGCTTTTTTTTTTTTTTTGTAAATTTTGATACCCTTTAGATCATAATTGTTCTTTATTTCATAAATTACGGTTTCGTATTTTTAATTTTATAATTTCTGCATGCCATCTTACCAAATTTAAACTGATGATCTATAATCCGGAAAAATTGATAATCCGGAATTGCCGAAGTCCCGACGAGTCCAGATTAACGACTTTCGACTGTATACTATTTATATTCAACATTGTTAATACGTACCACATGCCTCTTTTATGCTCAGAAAAATATTCATTGCAAGAGTGAAGGTGGTTGCATAGATAATTGCTTTAGTTTATATACTTCTATTTATTCACAGATCTATAATTGTTTTTCATTCATATTTTTTTAAAGGTCCTTAAAAATCTGTAATTTTTATTTAAAGAAATAAGTGCAAACCCTGTAGAAATGTATATGCATAGCATCTTGTTTTGCTCTAAATAGATTGATATGCTGTTTTGTTTTCTTATCTCATGGAATGTGAGATTCATTTCTAATTTTTAAAAATAATGCAAGTAAAATGTTTTAAAATATATAGAGTGGAAATGAATCTCAATGCATAACTAAATTTATAAAAGTGGTTACTTTACTTGGTAGGTTAATTTTATATCAGGTATTTAATGAAAGGGAAAGAATTATACACCAAAGGGAAATTATTTTGTAATACATTAAAATAATATACATTGCTGTTGTTTTATGTGATGATTGTGTATATATGTAGATTTTTGTGCATTTAGATTTTCCCATTTTATTTTTAATAGAGATTGAACTTAAATACATATTTTTGCCTCCTTTACAGGATTGTGAATCATTTTATGGTTGCAGTGACTTTTCCCAAGATGAAAATGGTTATTATAATTACTGCACATGGTGTGGAAATGGAGGAAAACTGTATTTATGTGATGATTGCCCAAATGGTTTCTGTAGCACGTGTGTGCGTCGAAATTTTGGACGAGCTGAAGTCTCTAAAATGAATAGGGATGGTTGGAAGTGCTATCTGTGTAACCCAAGGAAACTGAAACAAAAAATACTGTTTTATGAGTTGATTAAAAGTTTCAGTATAAAGGAAAGTATCAAAAAAGAAAAAAGGTTAAGTGTTTCTACTGCAGATAATAAAAATATAATTGCATCTGAAAGTTGGGTGACGGCGTCATTTGATAGAACTGATGATGAAAATAAAAATTTCCAGAAAAAAATTAATAAATTGAGAAACATTGAAACAACTCATTCTAAGAGCCTAAAACATATTGTTAAAAAATTTGAACAACTTATTGTTAATCATAATTCTGAATTAAAAAAAATCATGAAAGCTTTACTACAACAGTATTCTGTGTTTGTAAATTCTAAACTTAAAACTGATAGTGCTAATGAACAGCTTGAATCGGCAAATTGTGAAAAAAATGTAAATGTGATAGATTTAACTGAAGATGTTGGAAGTAAAGATATAGATTCTAAGTCAAATGAGAGTGTAAATATTTTATCAGTGAATGAAACTAATAAGGATGTATGTGTACAAGAAGCTGATGGGGATAAAAATGATACTTCTTTCAAAGATAAACTTGAAGAAAATGCTTCTGTTGAAGACTCTGTTCTTAATTCTGCTACTGCAGATGAAAAAACTGAAGTTTTAGATGCTAATCTTAAAGCCAAAATGGCATTACTTGATGATTCAGATTCTGAAAGTTGTAGGGAAGGAAAGATCCTTTCTACTTCCCCTTCAAAATCTAATGATTCTAAAAATAAATTATTGAAAGATGGCAATAAAGATAACAACAAAATATCAGTTTCAAATACAAGTGGAGCTGAAAAGGAAGGTGGAGTATTAGATGATGATTCTGATTCTGAATTTGAAGAAGACGATGATAAGGATGATGAGGATTTCAGTCCATCAGCTTTCGATTCAGATAAATTTATCCCAAATAAGAAATCAAAGAAAAAAGTGCATCAAAAGTTAAAACATTTGAAATCAGATAAAGACATTACTTCTTCAGATGAAGGATCTAGTTCAGAAAAAAGTGTTGTTAAGGATAAGCATGAAAGAAAAGTGAAGAAAAAATTTTCTAATATTCCAGATTATGAAGATCCTAAACTGAAATTAAACGCAGTGGTTCTTGTTCAGAAGTGTGATAATATATTAAATGGTGAAACATCAATAAAATTGGAAATCGATAAGATAGCTGAGCTCGAAAAATTAGTAGATCGTTTATGTAAGTCTCCTGTACGGTCTAAAAAAAGAAGCAAAGGTATTAAGCGTACCCCTTTAAAAGACAGGAATTTTAAAGGTAAATTGTAGTATAATTTTTTAATATGTTTCTAACTTTTGAGATGCATTTTATTATTTTCTTTCAATATATAATTCTATGGAAATTTTGCATACTTTTTTCCTTTAATTTTAATTTTTGTTTACTTAATCAGAAATAATTAAAAATTTTTTTCTTCTGTAAATGTAATATCCCCAGCCCCCAGATTTTTCACACAGTAGCATCATTGAGTACTTTTCCAAAAGCTGTTTGCATCATCTTTAAAATATGTTAAAAAAAGTAAATACAGTGCAAAGTCTGAGATTGGACGACTCATTGGGACTTCGGCGATTCTGGACATGGGATTTTTCCAGATATTAGATCATCAATTTAAAACTAGTAAGATGGCATGTAGAAATTATAAAATTAAAAATATGAAATTGGGATTTTTGAAATAATGAAGCATTTATAATCTAAAGGGTAACAAAATTTACAAAAAAAAAAAAAAAAAAAAAGGTGTAACATTTCTTTACTTACTTTATTAAGCATTTATTTCAATGTAAGTTGTTTAAGTTGCCTTTTTTTTTTTTTTTTTTTCCTCTAATATTTTCTCTTTAATTCTGTAGACAGTGTTAATTTCTTGTTCAGTTACACAGTTCCATTGTTCAAGTCCTGTAATTGTTGTGTCGAGAACTCTGACTAACTTATCAATCGGAATTTTTCTGTTTTCAGTAACCTCTCAGTCACTTTCTTCACCATCAATAGCGATATTTTCTGGATCTAGAATCATACTACAGATTTTGCCATCTGTTGATTGATTGGGGCATTGTCATTGCAATGAAAAACTGTTATATTGTCTTCATTTATTACCGCTTCTCCACATTTCTATACAAAATCCATTAACTGAACAATTTCACCAATATATGAAAACCTTCACATTCATGGCTATCATATTCATAATCCTCACCATGAAATTATGGCACCTGACCATAAATTATGCCAAGCATTTTTTAAAGTATCTTGAGACACATCCTCCCAGGATCTTGCAATCCTCTACAAGGATTTTAGGCTAAAATATTTCAAAATTCTTGAATAGTCTTACTGTTATTCAAAAAATTTAACATGGATTTTAAAAATTCTACTTTATATTTGCATTTCAGTGTATGTTTTTTTTCCAGTATTCATAGGCTGCATTACAGACATACAATTTGGAGAAAAGAATAATATGGATACATTATCTTTCATTGAAACTTTAAGTGAAGTATGAGCCAAACAGTTGTCTGCAATCAGAATAATCATGAGGTAAACCCACCAAATTGTGCTGAGCCTCTGAATGAGTACGAAATGATTTTCAAATGAATCATTCATTAACACTTGTATCATCCATGTTCTTTTATTTGCACGATATGTAACAGGAAAAATCTTTACTCCTTTAAATGCTCAATGTTGTATATTTTTTCTGATTATGAAAAGTTTACACTTCTGCATTCTTGCAGCATTTGCACATGCTAAATTTGTTACACAAGTTGGAGCCTTTTCTATAGAGGTTGTCAAGTTATTTTGTAATACATATTGCCGGAAAAGACCAGTTCCATCAGCGCTGTAAATTTGTTCTGGAGATAACTTTTTCACCATTAATGGGTTCAAAGAATCCATCTGCAAATAGTTCAGCAGCTTCAGTATCAGCTGAAGCTTTCACCTGAATTTTTTAATTGCCTTATACCATGGAGATTTTTAAATTTCATAAACAACCTATCGAATATACACTAAGTTTTTACATTCATTTCTTAATGAAATATTTTAGCTTGAGCCATTAGCATTGGAGCCTATCAATGGCACGCCCTCAATGTGATGCTGTCTGACACATTCTGTCATCTATTTTTCATAATCTTCACTTTTAGCAAAACGAATAATTGGGTGTCAGAATCCACAAAAAATTCAAAAAGTTCCTTTTTCTTTTTTCTTATGTCATATACAATTGACTTTCGAATGCTATACTCCTTGCATAATTTATCCATTTCTTGCAGCAATTGCACTTTTTGTGTATTGGATATCGAACCATGCGTTTGCTTTGTAGATTCTGTTGCAGCTCCAGAATTAGAAACTCTTTTTGACATACCATAATTTCCGGAAGAAATCCCGCATCAGTGTAAACGGCACACTCAAGAAAAATGGTGGGAAAAAAATTTAAATTACTCAGAAATGCCGCATCAGTGTAAATGCTGCAATAGATTAAATTGCACATGATGTTGTGGGCCGTATAGATGCAAAATCTCAACATGTGTCCTGATATATGACATATCAGTTAAGAAAAATGCATGAAATGAAACCATAACTCAAAAATAAATTAAAGGTAAGAAATGTTGAAAATATATTTACGTTCACGAATATACTTATATTTACCCACTAAAGAAGTCCATATTTGTAATACTCAGAGTATATTATAAAAAATGTTGCAACAACGAAATATTAAATTTGGATGACAAAAAGAAATTTTAAATTTTACTTACAAAACAAATTACAGCAACCTGTACATCATATGAAGCCATCAAAATCTGATTCTTCATTATCTGAATTAAAAAGATTTAGTAAATCCTGATCTAAGTCTTCCAGATCGTCACATTCATCCTCTTGGTTTACAGTCTCTTTATCTAAGGGTATAATTTCAGCTTCTTTGAACCCTGCTATTATTGACGATGTTTTTACTGATTTCCACACACTTCCTACCCACTTTGCAACTTCTTCGTAAGATGCTGTACGCATTTTACCACTTTTGGTATACGCATGCAATCCTTCACTCATCCAACACTCCCACCGCTTTCGGACTTCAGCTTCGAATTATTTATTACCTGACAAATCTATTGGTTGTAAGATTTTTGTCAAACCATCAGGAATTATTGCTACGGTCGTAGACATTTTTTGAAATTTGGTTTTCACTGACTCAAGTAAAAGAGCACGCATGGAATCCATTATCAATAACCCTTTTGGTTGGGAAAAAGATCCCTTACGACACTGCCAAACTTTTTGTAGCCACTCATGCATGATTGTTTCGCACATCCAGCCGTTCTCGCTTGCACAAATAATTGCGTCATTAGGAAAATCTCCCTTCGGAATAGTTTTTCGTTTAAAAATGATCATCGGCTTTAGCTTGTCACCGTTTGATGCACAGCTAACACACATGTAAATGACATTCTTTCATGTCCCGTCTTAAGCACAGATACAGTTTTAGCACCAGTTTCATCAACAGTTCTGTTTGCAGGAGAGTCGAAAGCTAATGCCGTTTCATCCATATTTATTATCTGTGACCAAAGAAGTTTTTTTTTTTTTTTTTTTTTTTTGTCAATAATATCTGTCACATAATTTAGAAAAGATGCCTTTTTATTCTGCTTGTCCATTGGTAATTGTTGCCCGACTGTTGTCCTAGGACGCACAGAAGTATTTTTTCTTTTCATAAATCTGCTACACCAGCAAGGCCCTCCTTTGAAATCATTTATGTTCATTTGTTTTGCTCTAAATTTTGCTTGTAAGCGAATTTTTACAGTCGAAATTGCCATTCCCTTTCCTTGTTGCTCCTTTATCCAGTTTGCAAGGTCCTCCTCTAGATTTGGCCACCTTACAGTACCACTTCTTTTGGCTCGTTTCTGTTGTAGCATATTTTTAAGTTCTTTTTTGGTTCTCCAATGTCGAATACATCTCTTGTCCACTTCAAACTCTTGAGCTGCTGCTCTATTTCCAATTTGTTCAGCACATGAAATTACATTAAGCTTAAAACCAGCAGTATAGCTCTGTGCCGTTTAGGTGCCATTTTAAAAAATTTACGCTCCCTTCTTACTTAAAAACTATTCAACAATGACTTTTACCTGAACTGATGGGATCTGTATCTGGCAGAATGCCAAGAAAAATTGATTCATGCTGAAGGGAAAATAGTCAGAGTTCGTTATTGCAAGGCAGGTGGAGTCATGTCCGCCTTTGAAAAAAAATTGCAGAAAAGTCAGGTGTGGGGAGAGGATGGGTGTTCGCTTATGCGTCAAAGTATTATGCTACCAGCGTATCAAGGACTATAAAGAGACTACTATATTCTAAAGTATTCATTTATTTAAAAACATCACTCAGGTATATAACATACAATTAATCTTCAATAAGCCTAACTAACTACAGAAACATGTTTACCTAATTATATAATTGCCCTGCTGCCACTCTCATGAAACCAAACTAACTACAATTATTAGTGACCAAAAAGTAAAAGTAATAAGTATAAAATTAAAGTAAAGTAAATACAAAATACATTGTTTTGAAATCCAACAATGGGTCCTGAAAGATTCATGGAATGGCTGAGGAGAGAGACTATTCAAACTGATGAGAATGCTGATTTGAAAGGGGGAAGAATGTTATTGTTCTGAGATCACATTTAGGTTGAATAAGGCATGTAGGTCTGTTCAAGGGAAAGAATGTAAACAAAATAACGTTCACAAAAAGCAACTGAGCGGTCTTTTGCGTGGGAACAGCACCAGTCTATGTACAGTGACAAGGCCATCCAAACTATGTACAATGACCATCATAGGAAATATTTTATTTTTAGTGCACTTAAACGCCGTAGCATTTCTTCCAGAAATTACGGTAATTGAAATTTCATAGAATTGCTGTAATAAAATTTAATTACTAAAGCAATTAATTTTTATTATTATTACAGCAATTAATTTAATTAATTTTCATAGAATTGCTGTAATAAAGAAAGGCTGCAAAAAATAATAAGCTGGATCAAATCAGAAAGTTCAGCAACATCCCAATCTGCTATATTGACTGAAATTCTTAGGAATCAGTATTTATAATCAGATTCTTAGGAAAAGTATACTTTTAGCCTTGCTTAATGGCATCCATTATCTATTATTGATTAGGTATCATGAGATTGGTAACAAAAGACAAGTTGTTCCTCTAAATTTTGTCTTGCTTCTATCACGCATTGAGACAATTAAGCCTGAATTATTATTATCCTTACATCTACTTCTTCCACATGCCTAAGCCTTATCAGAGTCCTGAATAAA